GTGTAGATAACGGTGATTTAAAATGTTGTGCGCGATAAGTAAGCTAATCGTAAAGACTATCGCGTTAGTCAATTAGATTTCCAAGTCAATGGTTAAGCTGCAGCCTTCGATCTCCAGGATTGATGGCCTACAGTGCCCGCGATGAAACACCATAGTGTGGCCGGCGAAAAAGTTTCAACGCGTCTTACGTCAAAATACAGACTCTGCTTAACTTCCATCGCATCGCTCAAGAAACTCCTTTCCCAGCGTATGTGCTGAGCCATAACAATGTATGGTATTATTTCAAGTGATTTGTAAAGACCGTGAACGGATTTTTTTTCTCTTCTCCTGTATTTAGTAATTAACTATTCAAATTGTAATGTGAATAATTTATGACAATCAACTCTATTTTAGTATTTTGCTTAATTTTTGGGGATTGAAATATCATTTAATTGATGTATAAATTTAAAAAGGCAATTTTTTCATTATCTTAATATCGCGGAATCTGTAACATGACAACCTACTGCCCTCGCAATTCACACAGTCGAGCACAAGTGGTTCGCTTTCGAAATTCTAGTTTTGGCATAAAATTGCTTTGGAAATTATGTGTTGCACAGACAAAGGTTGGTTTCAATAAATTGCTTGAAGATCGAAAGCCAGAGTCTCACCTTCAATTTGGAAATGCGCGCAAAGCGAGACAATTTGACTTCAAAATATTGTATGCAAACGAACTTCAAGTTCGCATGATACATCAAAAATACTTTTAAAACGTTTCAAAAATGGATCATTTCGTCTTTTTACGGGGGAAATTTACGCCAGGTTTCAGTTAATTGCTGTGTAGTAAATGAAGTTGATTAACACCATTCCATTTTCCATGCATTATTAAAACTTTTGTTTCAGTTCCGCGTTTTACAGACATTTGACTTTGCTACGCAGTTTCACGATCCAATGTTTGAATCTCGCTCTGTACAGTGTTTCGTTTGCGCATGCCCTCCCGCAGAAGACGCCCGTGCCCAATTACCGCGACGTGAGCCTGGAGGGCACACTGCCGCCCATCGTGAACAACGTCACTTTCGACGTGGTGGAGCACTTCGACGTGCGCCTGCTGGTGCGCCTCTTCTGGCAGTTCAACGTGCACGCGTGCGAGCTGGCCCTGAGCAGCGGGCCCGTGCGCCGCCTGCTGGCCGACCCGGCCGAGCGCTTCGACGTCGTCGTCACGGAGGTCTTCAGCGTCGACTGCATGGCCGGCCTCGCCCACCGCTTCCACGCCCCGCTCGTGAGTGGCGAACGCCCTTGCCCCCTCCCACCCATCACAGCGCTGCCATTGGTCTTCTAAGGGCATGGAAGTATACACTTTTTAGCCTTTTGCAATAAAAAAATATGAACACTGCGCCTAAACAAAGCACTGAAGCGACGTGAATCAAATTGGCTGCCGTCACGCGAATTGGAATGTTCCCATGAGTATACTACAGATACTTGTAATTTTTCATAAATACTAAAAAATGGCGGTTCTTGTCAGAACCATACATTCGACATACCCTAGGCAAGTCCGTGGAATGATAGATATTTATTTTTGTCAGCTAGTATTTTTAACAGAGCAGAAGACAATTTACGTAAAAACATTAGAATTGGAAATATATTTATGCATTAACGTGTTATTAACGTCCATTTTTAAAAGAAAAAAATTTAAAACATACTAAATGTTTATGGTTAATCTGCATTCGTATAATGAAATCTACACGATCTATTATGCAATTTCATTACACGTCACTTATCTTCTCTTCTACTCTCAACACTTACGCCTCGTCTTCCTCATTCTATTTTCCAAAGAATAACAGTATTAATAGTAATAATAACGATAATTTGATTATGATAATAATTATAATAATAATGATGACGATGATGATGATAATAGAGAAGTTCCGCTGGTCGCCCGTGCGCAGATAAGCCTGCAGTCGAGCATGCCGATGCACTGGGCGTGGGACCGCATGGGCAACCCCGACAACCCGGCCTTCATGCCCAGCTACTTCGGGCAGTTCACGGACCGCATGACGCTGTGGGAGCGCGCGAGCAACGCGGCGCTGGGCGCGGCCTACCGCTTTGGCCACTGGTACTTCGAGCGGCAGGCGGACGCCGTGGCGCGGCGGCACGTGGGTGACGACATGCCTCCGCTGGGCGCGCTGGTGCGCAACACCAGCCTACTGCTCGTCAACAGCCACTTCAGCCTGCACCCTCCCGTGCCCATGGTGCCCGGTATCGTCGAGGTGGCCGGCATGCACCTGGCTGAGCCGCGCCCGCTCCCCAAGGTGAGCCGGACACCCTGATCTCGCGTCCTTGCTCCCTTGTCTCTCTTAGCCCGTATCTCTTTCCCCTCTCACCACCCTCACCTCTGCTCTCTTGCACCCCCCTCCCACGAACCTTACGCTCCTGGTAATCATACGCCGAGGGTTCGGAAGCTTGAAAACTTACTGAGCTTCTGCCATTGAGAAGGATCGCGTGCGTACGTTCCTTCCAGTGTTGCTGAATTAATGTGTGAGTGACAGTGCTGCGCACTATATTTGAGGTTTGATTTGTTTGTATGTGTGTGTTGTTGAGGATGTTCTGCGTACATTCCTTTCCGTCTTGGTGAGTGTGTGTGGTTGAGGATCTACTCCCCATGTTTTTTGCAGAATTACTGATTGCGAATTTTTGAGGATATTCTGCACCCATTCCTTCGACGCGTGCCGAATGATCTTTAGCCCAAAGCTCCTAGGAAGCGTGCTGAACATGTTTTTTTTCCTGAGAAGACACAATCCTGGGAGTCTTCCTGGGTGTACTGTTGAAGAGGATCTAGTTTGGTTTAGTCCACAAGAGCGGCAGAGCCTCCTAAGAATGCTTTAGAACCTCGCCAAGAGGGATTTGACTCGCTTCAGAGCTAATACCTTGACCTTTCATGCCCTAATCCACTCAACCCTCAGACTAATGCTCCGTCAGGCTGGTAGCCAAGTACTCTGGAACGCAGCGCCCCAGAAGGATGTATTTCCAAATACTTAGTCTTGTAGGGTCTCCCTGCAAGTTCAGTAACACTAGCTTTCCAGATTAACACAGGAGTCAAATTAAACTGTTAATACTCGCTTACTCTTGAGTATTGGGCACTGCCACGTCGAAGCCGAGAGACCGACTGGAGGCCAAGCTGGGGGATCCTGGCCCTGACCGGGCAGAGCGGAGCCTCATTCCGCCTCCTCCCTTCTCACACAACACTAAGGACGTGAGTGACGTCTAGAAACTCGGAAATTGGGTGGACACTGGCAGTCTCTACCAGAACCATGATTTCCGCGGCCAAGTGTCGCCCTGTGGGATCCTTGGAATCATGCGGAGAGAGAGTTGTTGATGGGGATCTGCTATTCACGTTCCTAGGAGTCTCCCGCAGTTTATTGTTCAGGAAGGTTGCTGAACACGTTCCGTCGAGTACTGATGAGTGCGCGAGTTGTTCCGGAGAATCTTCTGCGTACGTTCCTTGGAGTGTTGCTAACCGTGCGTTGTTCAAGAGGGCCTGCTGCGAGTGCGTGTGCGTGCGTGCGCAGGATCTGCTGCGCTTCGTGGAGGGCGCGGAGGCGGGCGTGGTGGTGTTCTCGCTGGGCTCCATGATGCGCTCGGAGACGATGCCGCCCGCGCTCATGGGCGCGCTGCTCTTCGCCTTCCGCGCGCTGCCGCAGCGCGTCGTGTGGAAGGTGGGCCGCGAGCCGCCCCCGGGCCTCCACCCCGACAAGTTCTGGACGGCGTCCTGGCTGCCGCAGACGGACCTGCTGCGTGAGTGCGCCCGGAGTCGCTCGTCCTCCTTTTTATTCATTCCTTGTTCATTTCACTTCTGAACAAAACTTTACTCATTCACATGCAATCTCACACCCCTGGTTTACACCCTTGTATGCATGTGCCTGCAAACGTAAATGAATTTGCATTTTTTTAAATATGAATATTAATGTTTTACTTTATTTCTCGAGTAAATTATGTATCATCCAAGGATCGAAGAAAATTGGCCGGTTGATGATGAAACAGTATCACGAACAATATCATGATGGTTGAACAATGGGTAGAAAGTGGGATGTATAAATATCTTAAATTAAGAGTTAGCAACCTATTTCACAAAGAAATTAATTACATTTTACTGTATAATTCCAATGGCTACAATGTGCTCATATTTTTATACATATGCATAGAAGCCTTTAATAAACGCTTCGCAACCTTACAGTGTTTACGCAAGCACCAACAGGCAAGCCCTATTTGTTGTACATAACGCGTAGTCCAGGCGCTTGGTGAATGTTTTGTGTGTTTTGTGGCGTTCGCAGACCACCCGAAGGTGCTGGCCTTCCTGTCGCACGGGGGCCTGCTGAGCGTCCTGGAGGCGGTGGCGGCGGGCGTGCCCCTGGTGGGCATGCCGCTGCACTCGGACCAGTACGCCAACACACGCGTGTGCGTGCGGCACGGCATGGCGCTCTCCGTCGACCACACGACGCTCACGGGCGAAGAGCTGCTGCGCGCGCTGCGGGCGGTCATCCAGGACCCCAGGTGGGCGCGCGTCAAGCAGAGAGGGAACTGTCTCGTAATCGCTTTTTTTATTTAACCATAGAATGCATACCCTTTTCTGAGCATTTGCTTGCATATAAGAATAACGTGGGGCAATCTGTCACCCCAGTTATTTTTAGTATTATTTTGAATATTACCTTATTTTTTTCGTAACATTTCATATATGGATATAAGCAATATGCAGATTGTAATCAGGTTGGTAATGTGTATTAACTTAACATTTTTTTCTTCAATCTTGAATGAAATTCATTCTCTCTCTCTCTCCTTCATCTCTCCTATAATATATATTATATTAATATTACATATATATTAACATATCTATACATATATATCATATATATATACATATATTTATTAATATATTTATATTATATATATATATAATTGTAAACCCCCACGCTCTACCGGCGACGTGGGATCGTCGGAAATGCGCGGTAGGGTCCCGGTCTTAGCATCAGTGGTTCTATTCTTATTTCATTTAAAAATTGGATGATGGAAGAAATTGTTAACTAAATTCATGGGCATTCAAAATAAACAATTTGGTTACTGGTAAAAAACGTTTATTTCTGGACAAAGCTGTACCAGGGAAGTTACATTAATGAAAAAGAAACAAAAGATTGAATAAAGAAAAAATAAAGATTAAAATTAAAGGAGAACTTACAACTAGAGATGAATACAAAATTATTTTATAGCTAGAATTACAGAGTTGTCCCTGAGGACCTTTCTGTGCCTTAGCGCGGCACCGCTTTGACAATAATTTCTAAAGAGCTTATTGCCCCTGTTTACGTTGTCTGGGAACCCTCCGTGGTAGATATGCTCAGTAGGCCCGGGTGGGCGCGGCGAAGCTTGTAGGCGGCCGGGACGGCCTTCTCTGGAATGCGGTCGGGCGCGCGCCCTCACCAACGGCGGCTGCGGCGGTCAGTGGCGTCGGGCGGCGTCTGGCGGCGTCTGCCGGTGGTCAGTGTCGTCAGCAAAAGGACGTCTGTAGGCTGCTTCAGCGGAGCTTCTATAGATAGCCGTGGTATATCGCCCCCGATCGCAGGTGCGGAGCACACAACAATGTCTCCCTCTGCGTATGCGATTCCTTTCGAATAAAAAGTTCACTAATTGCGAAATCCTGCTGCGAATACGCAATAACAAAGGATTCGACAATTCCCTTATAAGTGCTTTTGCACTTCCCCTCGAATCAAAACTTCGATTCAATTCCCGTCCTCGGAGGTGCACACCACCTCTCTCTAAAAAAATTATTCTCCCTAAATCCCCCCAAAGGTGCTCGCACCTCTTCCCGCGACTGCTTCCCGCCCTAGCAGTAGTAGAAGTAGTAATGTAATATCGATTTTTCTCTCCCTCAAGTATAAAGTTAACTTCCATCCCCCCACCCTTTCTCTACGTATGTTCGAGTTCCCGATTACGATCGCGTCGCTATTGGCCAAAGGTAATGGCGTCTTACACAAAACCTGGCCAATAAGCTCCAGCTGATTCTGGAAATTTTCCATCCTCTGTTTCTGTCGCCGCGTGTGTCTTTCTCTATCGTCTGGAAAGTAGGCCACGTCTCTGAAGGGGCTTCACGGCTACTGAATTATTATCTTGTGCTTCCCCGATCACGGTGACAGGCTTTTCGAAAACGTTCCGGACGGGGACGCAGCGGAGCGCCTAACAACTTACCCTTTCTTCGGCCGTCGGGGTGCCATAAACTGCTGAAATGGATCAGGGGTCTCGCGGCGGTTGCAAGAAGGGGGGGTGCGCGTGACGCCGTAGGTCGTTTCTCAGTAATTATTCTTCCTTAAATTCTACATTTTTCTTATTTAAATTATTTAAATAATTCAGTACCGCTAATATATATATATATATATATA